ACACACACACCCAGCACCACCACAACCACCAACCTCACAACCCCACAACAAAAAGGACCAACCTGCAGTGCCACCTTCTTGTATCCGTTGATCCCAATTCTCACTCCAGCGTCCGGGTGATAACACTCGCCGGCCAGACCCACAGACCAGATGCTGATAAAGTCTTGGCAGTTCTGAGTGGCCAACATGTCACATTCAAACGGTTGGTTCGTTATCTCTTCGTCTCCTGAGTATCAGATGAATTATATTGTATTAAATAGCAGAGAAATTATACTGTATTAAATATCAAAGAAACTCGCATTAAACGGTACATTCGTTGTCTCTTCGTCTCCTGAAATTCAGATGAATCATATAGTAATCAATAACAAAAAAATCGTAACAAATATAAGACAAATTATAAAGTATCAAATAACAGAGAAATTATATCCTTATAGTATTACAAAACAGATATACGTGGAATCAAATTAAATTACAGACAACTAATTGTATTAAAAACAGAGAAAGTGAGTTGTATTAAATATCAGAGGAAATATATTGTATTTAACTTTTTATTCGCTTTCTCATAGTTTCCTGTGTAACAGATAAATTATTTATTCGTTATCTCTTTTTCTCCTGAATAATAATACATGAGCAATTATGTAGTAGAGCGTATTGAGCATTTCTTTTGTTTTATCTTTTATTCATGATCGAATAACGGGGAAATGATATTGTATTAAAGTGTTTGTCCGTAATCTTTTCGTAATCTGAAGCACAGACATTTTAATATTACTGTATTAAACATTTCATTTTCCTCTTGTTTTTCCTCTGATCGACAGCGAGATATTGTAATAAACGGTTCATTTGCTATCTTTACGTCTCCTGGTATAATATCATACAAATAGTATAGTGTGATACACGAGTCGTGCATTATCTCTGTCCATGGTTAACAGGTGAATTATAATATTATTGTATTAAACTTTCAATTCCTTATGTTCTTGTCTCCTGAATAACAAAGAAATTATGGCAGGACATGTTCAACAGTTATTTTCTCCTACCTTGAAAAGCAGAAACAAAGCAAGAACTACCTAATGTAATGTAAAGAGGAAAAGACTGAATGTGATTGATGATGAAAAATTGATGACCAATACAATTATAGTGCAAATGGTTTTGCGTCAGAGTAGATTTCATAATTGTGGTATTGGATAAATCAGTGAACATTTATTAGAATTAGATTTTGAAAGAAGAAGAAGAAGGAAGAGGAAGGAGAAGAATTATTTTTTTAAAAACTTTCGCAGCGCTGCTTTGGTAAGGGGATGTAACCCTAGAATACTGTCCATGAACTGTTCACTAAGATTACCTCCCATTACTTATTGAATTTATTCAACTAGAAGACAAGTGAAACTATCATTGTTCGGCAAATGTAAATCTACTCCCCCCTATATTCTTAACATTAGTGGAAAGGGTCTTTCGTGCGTGATGTCACGGTGACCCAAAAGTCTTCCTCAGTGAGAGTGAGTGTGTGTGTGTGTGTGTGTGTGTGTGTGTGTGTGTGTGTGTGTGTGTGTTTGTGTGTGTGTTTGAGAGAGAGAGAGAGAGAGAGAGAGAGAGAGAGAGAGAGAGAGAGAGAGAGAGAGAGAGAGAGAGAGAGAAAGAGATAGAAAAGCAGACAGTGAGAGACAGAGAATGAGAGACAGAGAGAGAGAGAGAGGAGATAGAGATAGAGAGAGAGGGAGAGAGAGAGAGAGAGAGAGAGAGAGAGAGAGAGAGAGAGAGAGAGAGAGAGAGAGATAGATAGATAGATATAGAGAAAGAGATGAGCAGGAAATGAGACAGGAAAAAATTACTCACTGCCACATCCTAATAGACTCACGGGATGAGCACATCGGCTAAAATGATGTGTTGAGAGAGAGAGAGAGAGAGAGAGAGAGAGAGAGAGAGAGAGAGAGAGAGAGAAAGAGACTTACCAGCACATCCAAACAGACTCATGTGGTGAAGAACACCCTCGTTATAAATGATAGGCTGGGTGGCCACCATGTGAAAATCTCCTTCAGGAATTTCGAAGACTTGGCAGATGTAAGTGGTCTCCTTAGCCGGGACGGGAGTTGGCGGGAAAGTGATGTTTAGCGTTTTCAAGTCTGTGAGAGGAATGAAGAAACATGTCAAGGATTTTTGAAGTACTGTTCCTACCTCTGGAACTAGTCTCAACTCTGGGTAGTGTTCATTATATTCAATACGATTCACTCGTCTGTTTGAAATACAATAAACATCCCCAAAATGCCAATACTCACATTTGTATTTCATCTTATTTGATACCACAAGGACTATCCTGAAAATTAAGGTGATGATAGCCATAACTTTGGAAAGTTCTGGTTTAATCATAATACAATTTCTGCTTAAAGTACTTATCCCTTTCATCTACTTCTTTGCGCAATCCCCTTGAAGATCGATGAGGTTTTCTTATTGCCGCTCATAGGAATATACAGGTAATAATATAATACTTCCTCAAATTGCGTTGATAGCCTAATGGCCAGGCTTATGACCTGTAATCGTGAGATTGAGCCTTCTTTGGTTCGAAACTCAACTCGGTCCGACTTTGGGTTTTTGGGAAATTCACTTAATACAAATTTCTTGTTAAACTCGGCCCATTTGGAGATGGACGTAAAACTCGGCAATAATATACCATACTCTCCCACATGAAAACCTCATTAAGACATTGCATCCAATACTTCTCTTCTTCAATGAGATCGTCTGCCTCTGTGAAGCTTTGTCTTGACAAATATGTCATCTGAGGGGTCCTGAAGGGGCAGGGTCTGAAACGTTTGTTGGGTGTAGTAGAACCTCCCACTTGTATCACTAAAGCCAGTCCTTGGTCGGTTTTGCTGTGTTTGTTGTGGCATTGACATGCTACAAGACAATCTCCTTTTTTAGGCCGTCTGGTCTTTTTCGACCCAGGGCTTATCTTATTCTGTCTAGATTTTCACAATACCTGGCCGCATTTATAGGTTTACCGGAGGGCAGAATGTCTAAAAGCAAAACATCTTTTACATCTCAAAAAATGGATGCCTTGAATTTCTTTGAAGAGTGATAAACTATGAACTCTTGAGGGTTGGTGACAAGTTGCCTTTCAACGTCATGGAATGCATCTTCGTCTGAAGAGGTGTGATCTGCTCATGTTCGTCTACTATTATCAGTTTGTCATGAAAATTCCCATTCAGTCGTATGACGTCATCATTAGCTCCCATAGGTCTCCTCCACTTCCTATTGTTCATCAATGCCACCACCGTACCGTCGTTTCAGAAATGTCTGACAAGCACCAAGCGATGTTCTATCAATTGTTTTGGCACCCGCTGAGCCGAAAGTTAATGGTATCTAAAGACTTTCATCACTATTCTTTAAACAACAGTCTTTGAGATGTCACGACTTTTCTACCGCCTGTCCTTATGAATCAAAGCATCAACACTAGTCTGTCAGATAAGACTGGCCCGAATCATCTTCTAGATTTGAATGCCCTGCCTTGAACATACTTAACCATCGACAGGTCAGTTTTTGAATCATCTCGTTGTTATCTTTGCCGAATACAAAAACACATTCAAGGTGAATTTCAATTGGATTGCTTCCTTTCCCGAACAGTTTTAGACCACCTCAAACCTCTTTTGTAGTGTTAGTAAGAGTTTTTACGACACTTGTAACACAATAAGGTCATAGATACGACACTTGTAACACAATATGGTCGGAGATTAGATATGTTACAAGAGGTTAACAAACACAAAAAGGAGGGGAAATTATAAATGTTTGATAGGTAAGAAGGAGCAAACCATACCAGAGCACCAGCCAACTACCAACACCTCTGACTTTAAGCCATTTTTCAATGTCGGTAACCATTTTTCTTCTTCCACAATACACTAGCGTGTTTAGGGAAGGTGTTGTGGTTCTGGGAAGGTCGAGTGTGCAGAGAATACAAATGTAAAATTAATGAATTAGTTTTTGAGTTATGGCCATTGTGGTCTGGTTGTTTTTGGTTGTGGCAGGGGGTTAGGCCTAACCTATTGTATTGTTTGGCTGAAAGTGTGAGAGTGAGTAAAGTGTGAGTCTGTGTACAGTTGTATAGTTTGCAAGTTTTAAAAGCAGTCTGAGTTACTACTGGTACGACTTTTAGAGGAGAGAGTTGTATCAAGGCAGAGGAGGCCTGCTGAGAGTATAGGTGGTGAAAAAGGCTAGTTAGAACCTCGGTTCATTTGTGTGTGAAGTGTGAGATTCCAACGCATCGGGGCCCCAAAGCTGCGGAAAGGATCACAACACAGAGAGGAAAAGGTTTGGCTAACTCCTGTTATAGTAGCATGCAAACAGAAGGTTAGTAGTGTTAAACCTTTGTTTTATGTTCCAAGTAACAACAGCCATTTTAGCCATGAAGTTTGGGATATCGTTCGTAGTTGTAAGGAAATATAATTTAGATCTAGATCTACTCCTCAATCAGAATTATTCTAATAAGTACTGAATGAAAGCTCTGTAATATCTTGATGGCACTGCACTAAGATTCCTTCTCGTCAGTTGACTATATTTGGGAGTGCATTTTTTTTTAAAGAACGTCAGGTATTGTGATTTTTTTGAATATTTTCTTTCTTTTTTTTTTTTTGCATGACCATCCTATAAACCTACTCAAATATACAATGGGTCATATTCCTTCTATATGATAAAATCATTTGAAGAATAAAACAAACTTACCAGTGTCGTTGAAAGCATGACAGACAAACTCGTCTGCTTTGCACATTTCCTTCATCCATTTCTCCTGGGTGTCGAAGATCGGATGGTTCAACGTTCTTTTGAAGCATGTGGGAGAGTCCCACGGGTCGCAAATACCTGGATAATAGGGGCACAATAATGGATTGTAATGATCGTGACGATTGTGATGATTGAACTTATTGTAATTTGTTTTTTTTATGTGATACAGATAATTAACTAGATGCTATAAAATGTGTACATGTTTTACCGCTCCCATCGACATAATTCAAACTCAGGCCCAATTGCTTTGACCTCACCTTTCAGGGCTAATACAGGCAGAATGGGATATAACATCCTTGAAGACAGACAGAGATACTCGAGGAAATAACTTCCTCACTTATAAATCGAACCCATGTCTTCTGCATCCCTGTTACAATCGCTCTTTCGGCACAGTGGTCCTCGTGCACACTAGACAAATTTTCGCTCATCGCAAAGATGCGAAATACGACGTCACTAGGTGGTGAAGAGAGACGAACGGGCAAAAATATTCTCATATGCATACCAAAACAGCCAGCATATGGAAGATGATGTACAGACAAACACACTGACAGACACAGCAGGTGAACAGAACAAAGATGATTAGGTAGATGATTGTAGAGGTTCGCACACAAATAAACACGCTGTCTTGCAAACGGAAGAACTGAAACAAATAGACTAGGTAATAACATTTTTTTTAAATCGAAGAGACAGAAAAACAGCAGTGCACAGGAAAATAGACCGGCTCATTCTCTCTCACACGTACATGCATACAAGTACACACGCACACACGCACAAACGCACACACTAACACTCAAACACATGCACACAAAACACACACACACACACACACACACACACACACACACGCACGCACGCGCACACACACAGACGGCTAGTTACCTGGATGTGTGATCTCTCTTTCTCTCTTGGGTATGTCCCCTTCCTTCTTCCACTCACAGTCTGGGTCTCCCAGCTCTTGACCGTTGGTCAAGCCGTCACCGTCCGAGTCCTTGCGACATAATTCTTCTGTCCACTCCTGGGGAACAGATAGAGTGAGACAAAGAATGGGTGAGAGAGACATCGAGAGAAAGAGGAGAGAGAGAGAGAGAGAGAGAGAGAGAGAGAGAGAGAGAGAGAGAGAGAGACGGGGGGGGGGGGCAGTGGTGGAAAGCTTCTAGAGTAACATAAACACGCAAGAACAAAGATATATATATATATATATATGTATATATATATATATATATATATATATATATATATATATATAAATATGGAGAGAGAGAGAAAGAGAGAGAGAGAGAAAGAGAGAGAGAGAGAGAGAGAGAGAGAGAGAGAGAGAGAGAGAGAGAGACGGGGGGAGGAGCAGTGGTAGAAAACGTCAAGAGTAACATAAACACACAAGAACAAAGAAATATAGATAGAGATACACAACGAGAGAAGAAATACACCTATTCATACCTTCTACCTTTTCCCCATATTTCACTCAAGGATTCCATGGTGTCTCCAGTGCCATTATTTCCCAGTTTACAGAGAGCCAGTTTAGCTTGCTGACAGCATCCTTCGGTTGTTTATAATCATATCACAAAAGCTACAAAACCTCAGAAAATTCATATTATCTATAATATTATCAAACTACATACTGGTTGGATCATTCATTTCTACCCAATGATGTTATAAGGTTGTTGGTGGTGTTGAAAACTTGAGTGACAGCCTGGCTGCGTACAAAAAAGAAAAACTTTCTGTATACCTTAAACTTGTATTATATTATCCAAGACTGGGCGTTCCTAACGAAATTCTGGTACATCAAAGAGCGCACCATTTCACTCTATTTCGAATCAAATGAAAGGCAAGTACAGGGTGATCCCAAAAAAAATGTACAACTTTTTTTCTGAATATCTCGCACAAAAATTGTCATAGAATGCTGTAATCTGGAACAGACATAATTCATTTAAGAAGGAATTTGTTTGACATAAAATCCAAGAAAAAGAAACTTATTTTGAAAACGGAAATGGCTTAAAGAAATAAGCACCCCAAAAACGCAAGGTTCACCAAGTTTTTAAAATCTTTTGAAGGAAGTCGTGAAAAGATTGGATGATCTTTTTCTTTTTTTTTTCTCTTTAACATTTAATTTTCCTTCCTTGTGACATTTAACAATATTTAGTTTCTTTTACAGAGTTTTAAAAAACTAACGATTTCATTCTGAAATTCCTTGTAGCAGTGTTCTACATGCACTCCTTTGGACTTGACACATTTTTACGAGTCGTTCGAAATGTTCAATGGCGCCCAAACACAAGCACCTGCTAAACCAAGAGTGTTTAAAGCCACATACTTTGTATATGTGTACAAGTAAGTAAGTAAGTTTATTCAGTGTTTAAGGCCATTGGACCACATCGCATCGCACAAAACATTCGTTTGATAAATAATGTTTCCATAATTAATATGTAAAGGTTGTGCTTTTATCATGAGTCAAACATTGCATATTTCTGTCACTGGGTTGAGTCAGGCTGGGAGGAATTAACAATTTCCTTTGATGGACAAGGTGTGAATAATAGAAAATAAAGTGAAATTCATCTTCAATTTCAAGAGAATTACACCTTTCACGTAAGGGCGAAGTAGTTAATTTCCATCGATAGAGATTGTTATTTAGTGGAAGGCTATGAGTTTTTAACAAAGCTATGACTCTTCTGTTCCAATACCGTGGGAGGTTGGTGATATATTCAGTTGTTTCCAGAAACAGAATTGTAAGAGAGAATAAATTATACTTGCGACAGACTTCTTCCTCTATGTTCTGCACAGAATGATCAACAAGTCTACTTTTTACTTCACTGAGAAAGAGTCTAGTGCTTCCAACATTTTGAGAAAACCAGGCATATCCAAAACCCAGGGAAAAAAAATAGGCTTTTAACTTCCGTAGCCCAGCTGACTCTGCCCAGTTCACATATTTACAAAAAAAATATTTTTTAAATGTATAAATGTTTGTTCGTCTTTTTAGCATAATGAAAATAGTGTGATCGTGTGCGGTTGCGAGCTCCGAAAGAGTCTTACTAAAAACACGTCTAATTTTATAGCGGTGAAACCTGTTGGCGCTTAAATGACCAAAATGGTGTCGATGGTGCCTAAAACATCTACCCAATCAATCAATCACAGGAGCGATATAATTGCATGTAACATTTTTTTGAATATCTGTCATTTTCTTAGTGTATAAGTCTGCACCAGAATTTAATGACACAGTGCATGTAATCAGAACATCAGTTGGTTCTTCCCACTTCTCTTAGAACTAAACATTTGGGTGTAGTTTTGCCAAGACACAAAAAGGCTTTCCAGAACTTTACCTGAACATTATCAATCACGTCCCAATTTTTGGTACCCCAAATTCCAGAGCCGTAAAGCAGCATCGGTTTAATCTTTATATCAAAATGCTTTTTGCTGTTTCGAAATTTAATTCTTGGTAAGAACCGAAAAGCCTTTTTGTTCGAGAAACAATCCGTTGAGCTTTACCAGCTCGATCCTCCAGCGTTCGTCTCCAGCATAGACGCGATGAAAATGAAATGCCCAAGTAACTATAATAGGTTACTGTCTCTAAGATCTTATCTTCCCAATACCATCTCTCAGATATTCTGAGATAGCCTCCATTTCTAAAAACAACAATCTTACTTTTCTCTGTATTCACTTTTAAACCCCACATCTGGCAGAAATCATGTAACAAGTTGATTTTCTTTTGTAAACCTCTGACATTGTCAAAAAGACTAAGGTCATCAGCGTACATTCAACAGAAAATACCATCATTATCATTGGGAAATACCTATATAGCAGGGTATTTGAATCTGAAAGGTGTTTTTCAAATTGAGATATAAACAAAGAAAATAATATAGGGCTAAGTATGCAGCCTTGTTTGACACCTGATGTACATTGGAAGTATTCAGTTATATAAGATTGCATGGATCCTCGTTCATCTGAACAGACTTTAACACATGAAAGAACACTTCGATACATACTTTTCAAAACGGTATACTTTGGACCAGAACAGCCAAAACTTCCCAATACTGTCCAAAGCTTTTCTCTGTCCACCCAGTCAAATGCTTTTAAAAAGTCGACAAAACGTACATAGAACTTTCCACCAGGCTTGGAGATATCTTTTTAGACTAAAGACTGGAGTGAAAATATATATGATCTATTGTAGAGTAATTTCGTCTAAAACAGGCCTGAGATTCAGGGATGAGGTTACCTTCATCACACCATTGTTGTAGTCTCCTATTTAATATGAATGAGAATAATTTACCAAGAACATTTAGTAAACTAATGCCCCTATAGTTATTTACATCATTTACGTTTTCTTTTTTGTGCAAACTAAATATCATAGACTTGGTCCACTCCTCTGGATAGTTGCCTGTGAAGAAAACTGAATTGAAAAGAGATAGGAGAAATTCAGCCAGGTCCAAGCAACCGAATTTGTAAAATTCCGGCGATAGGCCGTCAGGTCCACACGCCTTGCCAGATTTTAAATTATTTATAGCCAACACAATTTTGTCTCTTGAAATGGGTGAATTTAACAAATCACCTGGCTCACCACATGGGAAGGCAATGAGGTTGTAAGGAAACAGATGCGTTCAAGCTGGTTGACTCGTCATTTCCATTGGCGTTACCACCAGACCCCGAGAGGGGGTTTAGCAATTTCTCAAAATAGACATACTATTCTCTGGGTTTGATAGTATTCTTTGTTACCGGGTTTTTACATAAAAGGATATTGACCTGTTTCCAAAAATCTTTCGAATTGCGCTTCAAACAATTTTGAATAAGAATTTGAGTTTTTAATTGTGTATACTGTGATTGTTTTTTTTATTTACAAAGGTTTTTTAATTTCTTTATCAACGCGAGATAGTTATCTAATGCTTCATTTGAGTTCGAAACATGAAATTCATTTTAATGATTTGTATTTTTGCCTTTTTGCATAGTAGCATTCTTTATCAAACCATGGTGGTTGGGAGGTACACTTTTTGACCATTTTAACACCTGTAGATTGCATACAGTCGGCGGCGCTTTTAACACAATTATTCAACATCACAACAGCATCGTTTGTTTTACCTATATGGATAAGATCAGATAATTCATTTTGAACGCATAACAAGTTGTCCTCTAATGCCTGTACATAGTCTTCGACGTATGCGTTGTTCCAAAAACATTTCTAGATATCACATAAAGGACACAAAACTTTTTGTTCTACGGGTTCACATTCAAAGCCAGGTGTTGTAAGCGTTAGATTAAGAGGGAAATGGTCAGACTCTGATCTAGGGATTATTTTAAAGGCTTTAATTACTTCCTGAAACCCATCCGCGCTTACAATGATGTAATCTACGACTGACTTGCCTTTGTTTGAAATGCAGATGAAGTTTCCTTCCTCGTCTCCATTGGTTCTGCCATTCAGTATTTGAAGTTTGTTAATTTTACAAAACTCTATAAGTTGAAACCCAAATGCATTAGTTTCTAAATCCCGAGACTTACGACCCCTGCCATCGAAATCCATATTATCTGAGATAAAATTGCAAGTGTCAAATCCATATACAAAAGAAGCCACGTTATCAGGTCAAGCAAAGTCATCCATAACACCGGTCCTAGAATTTAAATCCCCAGCAATCAACAAGGTCAAGTTTCCATATTTTACATTGATCGTTTCCCACCATTAATGTAAACAAACATTCGAAAGGCAATGCAAGTAATTTAAACAGTGTTTTTTTTAAATGTTTGATAAAGTGATTACAAAATTTCAAAACTTTGTTAGTCTTGCAATACTTTCATGATCATTTGAAGAATCATTTCATTTATCCATGCTGATATAGGCCTTGACCTAGAAGAGTCTAGATCAAGATCTAGGAGTAAGTGGTGTTATTTATTAAGTTGTGTAGTAGATCGATCATTTTGATGATAGTAATAGATATCTAATTAAAATTTATTTAGATTTACTGCCCCCCCCCCCCCCCCATTGTGTTTATCTGGTGAGCTGCTTCAAATGTCTGGACGGAAAAAGAAATTTCCAAACGTCCTGTACTCGACCATAAGGGACAGCGAGACTGGGAGACTATAGTGTTTGGTTTTACCATGGTGAGCGCGCTTTGCAGCGAAGTTTTTAAAGTTGTTACTAGATCTAGATCTACATATCTAGATTTAAATCTATTATCTAGGCTATTCCTACTTTGCTTAGCCTACACAGAGGGATAGAAGTAGAAGGCGAATATGGTCTATATCTAGTGCGCGGAGTAATTTATGCAAATTCTTATATTTCACGTGTGAGATATCAGCTTAGCCAGCCTATATTTCACGTGTGGAATATAAGGATATATTTTACAGGAAGTGCAATGCTAAAACAGCTCCAAGTATGGTATAAATTTTTTTACACCATACACGACACAGAAGCCGAAGTATTTTCCGAAAATGTCAGAGTTCGAGACATACGTCTTCACCTTGTGTAGAGTGTATACATACACTGTATATATTCATTATGAAGTGGCTTCTAGAGACAAAAGGGAGTGGGGTGCCCAAAAGACAGCATTTTTGGAGTTAACATATCCCGCAGGGTGAAAATGGGCTTTGCACTAAACCAAAAGTCATCGAGGAAATGATCTCGCTTTTCAAGAAAATCGAGGAATCATGAACACATTGCAATGTTCTGATCCTTGTCATCTCGGCCTAGAATGGTACAGTCGTAGGTTAAGATCTGCCATGAGAATGCAGACTGTTGAGATGTAGGAAAGTCCTAGCTGGAGATTGTCTACAGACCGACGTCTCATGGGACTCGACCACTGAAATCTGCACCGTGGTGACGTTTAAAGGGCTCTGCTTGGTGCGTGTTCGACCTGAAGTGGTCATTTTTAAAGGACATTTTTAGTTTTGATTCGCTATAGATCCAAAGTGACAAAAATTCTCTTCTCTTGACGTCAAAGGACTTAAGGGCATCTTAGCATTTTCTCCATGCCGTGCGCAGAACTTTCGAAATTTCAAGGATGGTGAGTTTGTGGAGAGGCAATGTTCAATACAAAAAGCTCTCTGCTCTTTACTAAACGTAGCCATGATCTCAGCAGGCAAACGAAGTTTAGGAAGCATAATAGCTGCAGACTTCTGTTGACTTGTTAGACTGTTATAGCTTGCAATATGGCGCGATTGTTGCAACTTTCAGTGGTAGGCCTAATGCGAACTGGTGCGTAACGTTATGAAAATGGTGACAAGGTTAAAAGTGAGTTGTTTTTTTTAATGCGTCTTATAGAGCAAAACCATTCAATAGACTTATCAAAAATGAATATCAGACAAATTCCTTTTGGCTCCCAAATGTTATCTTCAAATTATAAACGCAAAACTTCAGTATGGAGGAAGATATTTACTAAACAAGTTGTACAGTTCTCTTTGGATCACCCTGGGAAGTGTTGTGCTAGCACTTTAAATCACGGGACTTGTGTTTTGTTCTTTACTAGATATAATCTAGATCGCACACGTCCGTGTACCAGCGCAGCGAAATATTTTTAATTAGAGGACAAAGAGTGACGGCTGTGACAGTGCCCAATGTAGGATTTTTTAAATTCAAGTCTTTCAGTTTTAGTACGACTTTTACGGTATTTGCAACACAGTGAGGTCAAATAAATATGTGCCGAAGATTAGAGGTATTACAAGAGAGTAGCAAACACAAACAAGAAGGAGGAAAGATAAAGTCGATAGATGATAAATTGGAAAGAAATAGCAAAGCACACCAGCGCATCCACCAACCATCCACAATTGAAATCTATGCTGTATACTATGAGCCAGTTTTCAAAACAAAAATCCAAACAAAGAATAAAAACAAAGGAAAACCAAAAACCAAACTGACATGTCCGGCAGCGGCAAAGTCCTCCCCAAACACGTTCCTGACGCCTGTCCCCGCCACCTGGTAGTGACCCACGCCCTTCCAGATGTAATTGGGTTTGCACGGGTGGGGGACAGCGTCACCGTTAGGGATCTTCAGCTGGTAGTGCCGGTATGACGTCACACACAGCAGGAGTGACGTCAGCGTGGTGATTCTGAGAACAAAAAGTGTATATGTGAGGCAGCGTGGTGGAATTAGGCTCTCGTCAAAATAATCAAAGTGAAGAAACTTTCATTTTTCCATAGGTTTATAAATTTTCATCAAATTTTTGTTTTTTGGCTCAACACCTGTCATGCCTATTACTCATTTCTGTGGAAATTTTTCTGAAAAACGTTGATTAAAGGCACAAAAGTGTAAATGTTCAGTTACCACGGACTCTTAAGCTAAGGAAAAAACTAATCTTTGGCGACCATTTTCTCACTAATTTTACCTCTAAAAACAGGTGACCTCCACCTCCTTCTTTCGCAAATATCTCGACTTGTATTCAAGATAAAAGGATATTTTTTTCATCAAAATAAAGACATTTATTGAACAAGCTTTCAGATGATACCAATAACTCTACATGCCCAAAAATTGACGAGAGTGATTCCACCACGCTGCCTCACATATTATTATTCATTTCTTTTTATCTCTAGTACGAGTTTTAGGGCGCTTGCAACGGAATTAGGTCATATAAATGCCAAAGATCTGGAGCGTTTAATACAAACAGGTGGAAAGAAATGGACGATCGATGTCTGATAGGAAAGATAGAACAAACCACTTATTTCGTTCTAAGCCCAGAATGCAATTTCTTTCAGGAGAGACGAAAATTTGTTTATTCTTTTAGAAATTGAACGCAGGTTATGTATCGTTTCGTGCTTTTTTTTTCTTTTTTTAAAGTTGAAACATTTAAAATCTTAATTTTGACAAAATGCTACTCTAGCACGTGCAACCGTTACCGCATGATTAGGAAACTGCAATTTCAGAAAATTAATTCAAAATTTTGAGCTCTACACACCTGAACAGCTGGCGGACGATTAATTATTTCCGTGTTGGCACACAGACAACCATTCACACCCAGATATTTCAAATAACTCGCATATGCACAGACAAATACATTAAGACATACAAACAACTACACTCAAACACACGGATACACTCATATATACGCACTTATTCACACACTCGTACACATACACGCACGCGCACACACACACACACACACACACACACACACACACACACACACACACACACAGGGGTTAGGGGTTATGGGGTTAGTTGGTGATTGAACGCATCCTACACCTGCGTTTCAGCCTGTACGTCTGTAAAACATAGTCTCCACGCTCAAACCGGCTACGTGACGGCTTGTGTCAGGGCTGTGTGCCGAAGCGTCATGCTCGTACCCTCTTAATGCAGAGAACAGGGCTCCTACATTGTGCTTCACATTTTTTGTCATCCCATAACCGGCCTCGTGCAAAAAAGAACTATCGGTTGTAGTATTTAAGAAAAATCAAGAAGTATTTGATCTCGACACTTATAACTTAACATTTTGTACAGAAATATGTAAGATTACGCTGCGCGTTTGAACAATTAGTCAGTTTTGTGTCCTTCCAGTAAAATTTGCCTTTCTGCATGTTGCCGGTTTATGAATAACACCGACGATAAACACCTCATCTCACCTTCTTCGTGTTTTTGTCGTAGATGTCGTTGAGCAGAGGAAAATAAACACACACACACACACACACACACACACACACACACACACACACACACACATACACACACACACACACACACACACACACAAACCGAATACATGTACTTGTAAAAAACCCAAAAACAAACAGACCAAACTCCAACGAAGTTATCGAACTAAAACAATACATAGAATTTTAGTATCTTATTTCAGAACGCTATTCGTTCCAAATCCAGGCATAATCGCGTTGATTATAACTTGACAATCTTGAAGACGCCCTGAAGAATAAGTAAGTGTTTGTAGCTGAGTGGACTATAACTCATTTATTGGAAGAACATAATAATAATATGACAAACGTTCAACAGTGTGCACCATGACTGACCGAAGACCGTGTGGATAGTAAGTCCAAGTTAATGCACTGAGCACCAACTTCGCTTCAGCGTTGAGAAGCCACGTTGTCATGCTGGGTGTATTTATACACGTTTGTGTTTGCAAGCAGATTGCGACATGTGGTAAAAATGAACCGTGCCCATTTCCTTGATTCGTACCAGAGCCTCTTTTTACCCTTCTCACCCCGCCCTTTTCCTTCTTTTTCTTTTCTTTCTGTTTTCTGTCTTACTTTTTTTCTGGTTAGTTTATTGTTGTTGGTGTTGTTTTGTTTCTTTTACTCTCAATTCTTGATATTTTTTGCAGCAATTTCGAAATTAAAATGTATTTGAAGTTCATTTTCATAATGTTTAAAACTCACGCTAGCAATAACCCGACACAGTCAGTTCTTTGTATCTGTCAACAGCTGACAAATTTTGTGAGCAATAAAAATGTGCTTATTAATAATGCAAGTTTTAAGGCATTTGCAACACAATTGGGTCATATTTAAGGGCCAAATGTTAGAGGTGTTTCAAGACAGAAACAAACACAAAAAGGGGAGAGATAAGGACTATAGATGTTTGATGAGAGAGAAGGAGCAAACTACACCAGAGCACCCACCAACTATACTCTAAAAGCTGAAGAAGGAAAGCGTTAAACTAATAAAGATGCAAAACGCTGAATCTCTTGAGAAAATCACATTAAAAGATGTTGTGCTCAAAGCCTCAAGTTCAGAAATTAATTTATTGTGTTGAGGCCTTAGGCAACAAATCGTTGTTCTGATTAACTCTCAGAATATGGAAGACATCTTTCTTTCTACGCAACCAAAACTTTCATTCATTTTTTCAGCATTACAAACGTCCCCCAAACTAACCCAACTCTTGTTTCAACGGTTTGCAATAAAATGAACGACAAACTGCAAAGAAAAAGAAAGAGGCATTTAAACATACACCATTTCGTATTTTCATTGAAAAGCCCTTGCAAGAAACAATATTTTGATTTGCTGGGATTTGGTAATTTAAAAAAGTTATAACTATAAACAACCGAGAGACGCGACGAGCTAGTGAAACTGGCGAGTCGTATTTTAAGAATTAGAACACATTCTTTAACTTTCGTTCGTGTACTTAACCTAAGGGAATCCTACCATAGACATTCACGGCGAGGAGTGCTTGAATACAGTTTAGCAAATTATATATAACATGTCTCTACCTTAGAATTACAAGGTTCTATCTGCTCAAAAATTTTCTCCTTCCACATCCTTTCCTGTTCTCTAACAATAGTCTGTTTTCTGCTTTCGTTTCCTTTTTCTGCCCATATTCTGCCCCCACCCTTTCACCTCCTTTGCCCCCTCCCCTGGGCTATTGACTCTTTCTGCAGCCTTTCTACTGCTACTCCTTGGCCCCTTTTTAGTGGTGTCTTTCAGCCACACCCCTAATCTTCTGGTAGGAAAGATCTACACCTAGCCTTCTCGGACAAGGGCCAAAAAGCTCGGAGGTCCAGTCTGCAAGTTGTGCTTGGTGGTCGAAAATCAATATAGGAGGCTTCGCCCGCTACCCGGGCGAAATTCAAAATGTCCTACCAACTGAAAAGGTTTGGAGTGTCCCGCACGCTCACATGACATTATTCAGCCGGGAGCGTCGTTAAACACTTACAAAAAAAAATTAATAAATCCTAGGCCGAGTTTGTCAAGGCCGTCGTTCTTTGCTCTTTATAAAAACCTCGCTGCCCCGGTGCACACCATGGGTGCACAGATCAATAACCC